ATTTGTAGGAATAAATATAACACACCCTAAAACCAAATGAAAACAATGTTGAGATCTCTAATGTTTAGATTTTATCTACCCTTTTAGTTAGATACTGAACCACCTGTACTGAAAAAAGCAATTTAATTTTTTTAAAAATCAGTTTTTCCAGAAAAGAAAAACCTAATCTCTCCCCTGCTCATGCAATTTTCAAGATGGGGAGGGAGGGGGCAGGGTTGGGGGAAGAAGCTACATTATTGGGACAACTACTACAAATTGTTTAAAGCATGTGAATTTGGCAGTATGAGATATTTCTTTTCAAGGGCCATGAGTATATATGATGCAACCAGACACTGGCTTCAAATGAGCCTGTTTTATTAACCTCAAGAAGTTACAGGGAACATGCCACTTGAAAGAATCTGGGAGAATGTAGGTCAAAGAAGCTTTTTCCCCTCCTTACTAGCCTCTATAATTAAAGACCTAATCCTTTGTTTTAAGGGAAAAAAAGTCTCCTTTATTAATTAGCTGTTTTCCTTCTCCTTAAAACCCACAAGGTTAACATCATGTTTTGTAAGGAATTTCCATCTTACTGCCTTGGGTGCCATTCTTAAATTTTAATGCATTTAAAAATAACTAGGCAGGGGTGGCCAGTTAGCTCAGGTGGTTAGAGTGCAGGCTCATAACACCAAGGTTCGATTCCCACATGGGCCAAGGAGCTGCGCCCTCCACAACTAGATTGAAGACAACTACTTGACTTGAAGCTGATGCATCCTGAGAAAAACACAGTTCCTCAATAAAAATTTTTTGTTTTTTAAGATTTTTATTGGGGAATTGAGGAAGGGGAACAGACAAGTTGCTGTCCTTTTGTTCTTCAGTCTAGTTGTGGAGGACGTTGCTTCACTGGCCCAAGTTGGCACCATCATTACGCTCTTCCCAGGTGAGGCAGATCAGTCGCCGGCTTCTGGACGGCTGCTCATGGCGGCTGATGGCCACTCTCGCTGGCTGCTGGCTACACACGGTAGCCCATGGCAACCCACTGCAGCAGGGGTTGCAGCCTATGCCATTGCCGGCGACTCACGGCAGCCCAGCTCCAGGTTGAGCTGTTGTTCAGCATCTTAGCTGTAGAGGGCAGTGTCACTGGCCCTCATATGTGGGATCCGAACCGGGGCCGTCTGGCGTCCCAAGCCAGTTCTTAACCAACACGCCACTCGGCCGGCCCTAAAGTTTCTTAAAAAATTAAATAACTAGGAGCATTGGTGCCACGTGGCCTGGGTCCTGCCCCCTTCCACGTCTAGTCCCTGCCACCCGGGCAACCACATGCGCCAGATGGTGGTGTGTGGGCCCAACTCCAAGTACAGCACAGGCAGCAAATGGAAGGACAACTCTACGGAAGACTTTGACAGTCTTGAGAGGGAGAAAGGCAAACTCACCAATTCACAGGCGGGGCCACAGCAGTGGTAGCAGACAGCTACGGCCCATGTATCTAGGTTTTCTCCAATGAGGGTCAGCTCAAGTTTCGCTTTGGGGTCCAAGGGCACTCACCTGGGCAGCTGCAGCACCCCACAGGTGTGGCAGTGGACACCAACGGAGACATTATTGTGGCAGACAATGACAACCATTGGTCAGCATCTTTTTCCCTGAGAGCAAGTTCAAGACCAAGAAAAGAGCAAGCCACCTCATGGGTCCCAGGGGAGTGGCTGGGCGTAGACCTCAATAGACATATCACTGCAGCTAGCAACAAGTTAATGCATCTTCTTCACCTTCCAGCCAATCACAAGCTGGTTGGCCATCTTGGAGGCTGTGGGGCCACTGATGGCTGGGCCCCATTTTGTGACTACGAACAAGAATGAGATTGTAGTGACGAATTTCCATAACCACTCAGTGAAGGTATCCGATGCCAGCTGGGCATGCCTCTTCAAGTCTGGCTCCCAAGGAGAGGGCAAGGGGCAGTTCAGAGCCCCCACGGGGGTAGCTGTGGCTTCCAGTGGAAACATCCTGAAGCTGACTGGGGCACCAGCTGCATCTAGGTATCCAACAGGTGTGGCTGCTTCCTGTCCGAAATCAACATGTCTGCAGAGCCAGTGTAGGGTCCACGGAGCCTGGCACTGACCTCGGATGGTAACCACTGCTACCTCAAGTAGCTGTACAGGGACCCTGCCTGGCTCAGAGAGGCGGACATAGGGGTGACTGGACAAGAGTGTCTGGCCAGGAGGTGGGCCACACCTGGAAAGACTGAAGGTGAGCTGTGGCGTGAGTGTACCCAGTGCTCTCCTCTTCCGCATCTCCCAACTCCAGGGTTGTACCTTTTTTGATTCTTGGTTTGGTGACTGGGTGGCCTGAAATGTGGTCCCAAGGAGGTATGCACAACTTCACATGCTCCCCCGCCTCCACGCCTCCTGCCCCCTCAGTGTGCTCCCCACATCCCAGCTTGGGGCCAGCACAGCCTCTTACTTCAGGGCAGAAGCCCCTCTGGTTGTCTTCCTACCACCCCACACACTGAGAGACAGCAATATCCCACTTCCCATATTAAATGTGTCCACAATAAAACACAGAGTACCAAATGCAGGGCAATATATATATATTTTAGAGCTCATTTCATGTTTAGAATGATCATCAAAGTATTTGTCAGGGGTCTCCACTAAGGAATTTCCTGATGGCTATTACATGTGCGTATTTCTAAAAAAGAACTATGTGGATTGCTGCCTAAGCTTATTCTTGGGTAACCTCCATGTTCCAAAGCAAACCACGGATAGAGAAAAAAAGCCCAGAGCCTGGTGGGAAAAAAGAACCACTTCTTGGCTTATGATTGCCAAAGTGAGAACATTTTGGGTTATTCCTTAACTGTAATTGATGCTGCCACCTTGGAATCCGACCCACTGCCAGGGTCAAAGATTGCTGTTCTACTCGTACAGGAAGGGTAGTCTCTGTTAACTCCCTTCCTTCGTTTAAAACAAATGCTGACTAGACATCTGGGAAGGAGCTGTGATGTCGGAAAGAAAAATGTTTTTTGGCTGGCCGCTCTAAACATACTTAGCTGAAGGCTGATAAGGACCTATGGATCTTTTCCAACCACCATTTTTTTTCTACCTTAAATGGAATGTAATTCATTTTATTCTAGAAAGAGGAAAGGGATTCACTTTTGCTAGGATTCAAACCTCTCATTCTTCAGAAGTCTAGGTATTTCACACTATATCATTGAGAGTACAAAAATCTTTAAAATAGATGAGCACTTTGTTTTTCCACAAATCAAAAGCCTTGTGTTTTGCGTCCACACTTGGTATCTTTATTATTTCTTGAAATAGATTTTGCTCAAATCAGATCTCGGCATCACTGAATGGTAAAGAGCGTGCAAGAAACTACACAGTAGAAGGTCATTCACCTTCTACCAAAAATGTCCTAAATGGCTTAGCTGGTTAAGACTATTTATTACACAGGCATGGCTAAGATCAAAGTTCTAATCTTCTTAATGACCTGTTTACTTTGCTTAGCTCTGTTCTATGTGGGCCAGTCACCTCTCCCAAACTTCTATTTCTAAATAAAGGAGGACTAGGTAACAAGGCATAAGCAAAACCAACACCAAAGACAGGAAACCACAACAGGTAGTGTGGCCAGTGGAAAAAGGAGCATGTTCACAAACACTGAACTTTTAGGCACTTCATTTGGTCTTTTCATCCATCCTTTCTGGGTGGCAGGTGCTGAAATCACAGAAAGAAAACGGATACAGCTCCACCAAGAATGAATTCGGTGTATAAAGAACAACAGCAATCACAATGCCAGCCCGGTAACAGGTGTGTGCAGGGTGGTACCAATCCCAGCCTGGGTTCTTCAGGGGTGATACAAATCAAAGGGTGGAGTGAATGCCATTTTGAACAACTCAAATATAGTAGCTAATATAGTCTGACATCATAGCTAATGCAGTTTAAAAGACCAATATGAGCCACTTAATGCATTATTCTTGAATTTCAAAAAAAATGGAAGGACTGAGCGATAGGCATTGGGGAATCTCTAATGGATGTAGTAATGAGAGCCTCAATTTTTACCTTACTGCTCATTTTTATTGTCAAAGGAAAACAACAGATCCCTGGCCCTGCAACTAAACAGGAATAATGAAAGATTTAGAATTTCGAGTCTTATGACTGAGCTTTTCCCTGTTAGACATACAGGAGATGTGGTTTAAATGAACCAAGTATACTATTCGAGTTTCAAATCATGGATTTACAAAGTGGAATGGAAAGCTCTTCTTAGGAAACACTGTCATGCAACGTCAATAAAGTCACAGGCACCATGAAAGATTAAGTTAATCATTTAAAGTGAGAATGTTATGATATTTAAGGATCCTTCTAAAATCTTTTCAAATGTAAGCTGGACCAATAAACAAAGCTTTCTAAATTAGTGAGTCACCATCGCCACCTTGCGTGGAGCAGGCCTCATTGCACCCGTGTTATTGCAAAAGATCACACTTGGGATTCAACAATTACAGAATATAACTTTATTTATAGAATCTTACAAATAAAACATTTAAAGTCCATATAACTTAAGTTATTTTCTTTTCTAATTTATCCTCATAACTCCTGAGTTATTTAAAAAAATACTGTGGTGGAACTGCAGAACTGTAAAAGGAAATATGAACAATAAAAACCTAACCTCTTGCAAAAATCTGACTTTTCATTTTTCAGCAGATTTCCGGCGTACTACCATCTCTTTGGAAGAGGACTTACTAAAAACAAGTCTTAGGATACCCAAACAGAGAAGCCTTCTTTTCTTAAACCCAGGGTGAAGGACCAATGTAGGAAAGTTCCAGGTTGATACTAGACACAGAAGATCTTTGGGGGCAAGGGTGGAAGGCAACCTGTCAGCCAGGGCGAGGGTGACCGGCAGAAACCCTGCTCCTGGGTCACTGCTCCAGCACGACATAGGCTGTCCCTGCTATTGTTAATAGGAGCTGGTCCATCCGGGGAAAGACAGGGTGAAGACGCGAATGTCAGGGGTGAACAAATCCTCAAAAGGCGCCACTCCTCAGACTTCTAATATGTACAGATGCTTAAAACAGCAAATTCAACACTTAAAAGTCCACAATAAATCGCCACATTTTCAAGTCACAAGGCAAGTCTATTGCCAATGACAACCTCAAATCAGTTGCATGATTTGAATGTTTTCCCCATCCTATGCTTGGGCCAAGACTGGCCCCTAAACTAATTAAGAGTTCAAAGAGAATTTCCCTTTGAGGCAGCTGGCTATGAGAGGGAGGTTCTTAATACAGATGTGCAGAGAGGAGAAGCACCCTACCACGCCATCATTTTATTTTTTAATTCGTTAAAGATTACATTTTTGAGCTCTTCTAAAACTAGAAACCCACTAACTCTAACTTAGTATTGTACCTCAAGGATAATGGTATTTGTAAGGAATGAGAGATCTATAGGGAATGCTAAAACTATAAATTTAATACATCAGTGTGAATTAAGGAAAGCAAAGTCTTCTAAAGTCTTCAAGTTTGACTGTTATTTTCTGCTAGCTCCTGAAAGCTATTTGAGAAAAGTAGAACAGAGAAGACAAAGACTCGTTTTAAAACAGTAACAATAATAATAATATAATAACAAGTTAGATGCCAACATTCAAGGAATTGGTTCTTTGGTAAAACTGGACCATAATCATCCTATCAGGAGTCAGTCCTGATATTTAATCTAGAATCTTGATAACTGTTTTCCTTCCTCTTCAGCCCATTCTCAAATCTACCAAAGTCAACAGGCAAGAGAAGGAGAAAAACGTATAAAGCATCACCAGCAGTTTTTCCTGCTTACGTTCTTTTCAAGAATATTTCTGTTTTGAGGGATGTTTCCCTAAGAAGAAAGAAAAAAACCAAAATAGAGGCTGCTTTTAATTACTGTTTAGTGGAAAGTCTTTCTGGGTAAGACGAGAAACACTCACAGGTGTTGGCAAGGAACCAGCACTGTCAGTCATGCACACAAATCAGTCAGCGAACACAGCCCCTGGGCTGCAACTGTGGGGCACCGCTAAGAAAGGCTTCTGGAGAGACTGGCTCCCCAAAGTGGCTAAAGAATCTCACATTATCAATATGATAATAATAAATCAATTCACCTAGTGAACCTGGAGATTAGCTCCCCTTGAAGCCCGAGTTCTGAGGAAGAGGGCTCCACAGTGCCTGAGGCTGGCCTAGTCTCCCAGACAAGTCTATCAATCCATTTTCTGAAGAGTTGGAGTTCATATTCAATTCAATATAGGACTTGCCCTTTCTTGTTTGGGGTGGGGGAAGAAGGGGGTAACCTAGACAGTGCTGTTTAATAACCCATTTGCAGCATCATCAGTAGGTCCTCTGTTCCGCAAACATCTGCAGAGCCCAACCTATGCTCCGGATCTTACATTTCAAGAGTTCTATTATTCACACTTTTTGCTTATGCAATTAGCAAATCCTAAAGGTTGCCTGTACTGATTCCTTTCCTGATTACCCTTGTCGAAAAGAGCACAAGTTGCACTCCAATTCCGCGAATCAACTTGCCACTTTGCAGCAGACGTGCTGGCCCGGGGAGGTAAATTTGTGCAGTCTCCCCTCTAGTATCAGCATCGTCAATGTGCTTCTAGGGAGGCAGCTAAAAAGTCCCAGATGATGGGAGTGGGGACGGGGAGGTGGAAACCACAGCAAAACCAGTCGATGTTTTGCAGGACTTCCTTCTCGGCCCTCCATTCTTGTTAGTGTTAATTAAGAAAGGAAGGGGAGGCTCAGGCAACCGAACCTACATGCTAAGCTCTCCTGGACAGCCAGGAAACACCAGGTGCAGCCACAAAATCAACATTCAGCATGCCAGTGGGCACAAGTAACCGTCAGGGCAGGACACACACCATCGGTTCCACTTCCCCTCTCACTCTTTGCCCTACTCATCTGTTCCAACTTTCAGTTCTCTTTGGAGTCCAGGACACACATTTAGATTCGTGGGCCCCCAACTGCATGTAGATTCACCTCCTAACCTTTGTCACCAGGTTTTGACTGCTGCCTCTAATTCTGCATTGCGGCAAGAGATCCAACATCTCTCAGCACTGGTTCAAAGAGACAGAGGCCGGGGTAAGCTGAGAAAAAAGTTAGGCTTGTCTTCTAAGCTGCATTCAGGTTCCAGAGTCACTCTGAGAAGAAGAGAGAGGCAAGGGAGAGAGGTGCTACCTGGAGACTGTTCACCAGGGCAGCTTATTACTAGGATAGAGCATTTTCAAAAACAGCTGACATTTAGTGCAGGAATATAGTCCGTGTCAGTTTTTAATATAACTGCCTCGCCGGAGGTGCTTCTTGGATGCCGAGTCCCAGGGCCAGGGAACAGGCAGCTGAGGGCCCGGCTTCCACTCCCACAGGCTCCTGCGGGGCCCTACCCGAGCTGAATCTGTCCTGAATACATGGTGAGGAGCAGCATGATGGTGAAACCCGTCAAGAGGCCCAGGTTCTGGATGATAAAAGGGACCAAGGTGCTGCCCTTTCTTTCATCCTCCTGGCAGACTTCATTCATCTCAGGGAACTTGAGAAAGAAGAAAAAAACAAGAGAGCTGCAGTTCCTTTCCTAATCTTGTAAGTCTAGGAGAATTCAGTGCAGTATAGATATTATATCTAATAATTATATTATATTAATATTTATATTATAATGATAACATTAGTATATAACATGACTATTGTAATAGTTAATATTATTGGGGTGAAAATTATATAATTAAGATACATACATAAAATTTGGTTTACAAAGAAAATTAACAGCAATCGCCTCTGGAGCTTAAATGTAATTGCCTTTCTCCAAGGTGGCTACTACTACAGCTGACCCTTGAACAACGTGGGGGTTAGAGGCGCTGACTCCTGTGCAGTTAAAAATCCACGTGTAACTTTTGACTCCCCCAAACCTTAGCTGCCCCTCAGTACCCATGGGGGATTGGTTCCAGGATGCCCCAGTGGATACCAAAACCTGTGGATGCTCAAGTCCCCTAAATAGAAAGGTGCAGAACAATGCACAGTCAGCTCTCAGCATCCAAGGATTCCCAACTGCAGACTAAAAACAGTACGGGTGATTACTGAAAAAAAAATCGATGTACATGTGGACCTGCGCAGTTCAAACCTTTGCTCAAGGGTCAACTGTACAAATATTGAGGTAAAACAAAGTACTATCCATGCATGTAGCCCTGGAATGTGTTTAGATGCTGGCTAAAAATAACTGCTTTGATAAAAATAAACTTTTTATTGGGATCCTTAAAAATACTTGAAAAGGTTTTTGCTACCAAAAATCTTATTGTCACCTCTTTGGGAAACTGAGAAACTGTGTAAGGGGCCAGAGATTGGAGCTATGTCAGGCCTTTCACTGCTGTCCAGCGAGGCAGGTGACTATGAGAAGGCATTCTAATTCAAGAACTGCAAAAAAATATCCCAATCATGGGGAGGGTTCCACACAAAAGAGGAGAATCTAAAATGTTGCCATGGGTAAGGCTGGATATTGGTGGTCTACTCTCATCATCTCATCAAAAATGTTACTTTCAAAGGCTATGGAAAATAATTCATGAACATAAAACATGCCAAAGAACACGTCATGCCAACAAACAAGGCTAAGTATACAAAAGATGTAACAAATCAGGTATTTCACTAGCAAAATCAAAACTACTTGAATGATTACACCACACGTTAGTGGGTGCAGTACAATGTACAGGTCCAGACACGACTAACATTGCTTTTCACTGATCTATAAATATCTATTCTATAAAACTTAAGGATTTAAGTCAGGACCCTGGAGTTTAGTAACCAGTGTTCTTTAATGACATATGCTAATAGGAACAGAAGCTTTTCACCCTTTAAAATCTACTGTCCCCTTAAAAAGTACTCAGTTGTACACTTTAATTGGAGAATTGTATGGTATGTGAATGATTCCTCAATAAAACTGTTATCAAAGACAAACTAATGTCTCCTTAGCTGTCCTCCCATCCAATGACTTTAATTACCCAGCCCAGTTTTGTCTCCATGGTATAAACTATGGAACACTTACCATATCAGCCAGAGAAATATACAAGAACATTCCTCCAGCCAGTGCAAAGATCCAGTTGGCAGAGAAGTGGCTGCCTGCCAGGATGCCAAAGGCCAGCCCCAAGTAACAGCAGCAGGCGGAAAGGAAGTTGAAGAAGAGTGCTTGTTGGAGGCTCATGCCAGCATTGAGCAGGATGACAAAGTCTCCTGTGGCGGGGACAAAAGAGGGGAGGGTGTGGACAAAGGAGCCACATTAGGTCGTGGGGCAGACAGCGTGAGGAGGACAGACTGCTTACATTCTGTATCAAGTCTGGGTGAAAAATCAAGACAGCCCCAGACAAGAAACTGCAATGACAAGACAAAAGCACCCTTCATCTTCATGTGCAGGAGCTGTTTCTGTTTGCAAAACTGGCCACGTACGCCTGGCCAAGGTGCTGAAAATAATGCAAACCAGACAAGCAACGAGGGATGGCCTCGTGCCTCTTTTGATTGATGGCGAAACAGGAAGAACTTCCTTCCTCACAACTATAATGAATGGTATTTTTAGGAAACAAAACTGAGACTAAAAGAAGTTAAGTAATTTGCCCAAAGCCACAAGCCAATAAATGGCAAAGCCAGGGCTTGACCTTGAGTCTCCAAAGTTCAGGCTTTTTACATTCCCTCTGATAAAACAAAGGGCCTTCCACCCACCCCTGGCTCACCTACTTCTTTCACCCACCAGACTTCTAACGCGCATCTGAGCCTTTGGGAGGTTAATAGGATGTAAGAGACAGCCTATGCTGAATGCTTGGAATACTATTCGGCATACGGGAAGTCCCTTTCACTGTTTTTCCCCTTTCATCCTCATGATAAATCTATGAGGCAGGTACTGTTATCAGCCCCATTGTAAGGTGAGGAAACAGCCACAGAATATGGGGCTGAGGGGAAAGAGACAGCCCTGTAAAAACTCCATCATTTTCTTTTTTTTTTTAAAGTTTGTAGCAGAGGATAGTTTTATTAAAGCAAGAGAAAGGTTACAGCTCCCGAGTGGGAGGGGGTACCCGGAACTGGGATGCCCCAAAACGCCATCATTTTCAATGGACAATTTTCAATTATTAATTCAACTGTTAAGAATCAGTGGTTAGATTTCACATCGCACAGAGGACGTATTAATTAATTACAATAAGCTTTCTGAAGAGGGGGGAGGAGTCAGCCTTCTGAAGGGTGCTGGTGTCAGTAACAGAGGCAGCAAAGTGTGACGGGGTTGGGGAGGCGTGTGTGCTCACCTAGCTCATGTGGGAACTCCTCACAGAGGATGGCCACTGATGTACTGATGCCTTGGAAAACGGACACAGTGAAGGAGGCGCCAATGGCCAGGCCGTCAATGAAATTGTGGAGGCCGTCACTCAGGGTGATCATCCAGGCCAGGGTGCCGATATCAGAGTAGCGGACGCCTTTCAGCCAGTAACAGGCGCTCTGGGAAGCCTGCAGGTCCTACAAGAAATCCCGGCCCGATGGTCCCCAGGTCAATGGATGGAATAGGGGCCTTCAAGGTACACCTGAGTGAGTCATCAAGGCCATTACTGCTTAATGGCCCCTACCCAGCAGCAGACAGCCCACTGACCTGGACAGACAGTGAGCCCACAATGACCTTCTCGTCCATCACGGGGTCCTTGCCATCAAGCTCGCCGCTACAGTGCTGAGGAATCATGTGGTCCAGGTCCCCATTCTGCAGCTTCTCGGTCACCCCCTCCTCCTGGTCCTTCTTGGAAGGAAGCGTCTCAGAAGTATAATGGCTATGTCCATGATGCTGGAGGGACCGCAGGAAGCAGTGAGCGTGACCCTCACCAAAACCACAAAGCTTCCTGAGCACCCACTCTTGAGTCAGCGCTCTGAGCACTGGGAAGACCCCAATCCCACCACCAGAGACAACACAAGCAGGCAACACACACAGAAACCCGGAGATAGCTGTTAGAGAGCTGAACCAAGGTAAATACAATGGGCTGGCACAGGACAGATATCAAAGCAGTGACCGCAGGGCCCATGCACATTCTGGCGAGGTGGCACTGCTCAAAGTATTTAGAGCTCCTCCTTTGCAACAGATACTTTTAGTCAATTCAGCAACTATTTTGGGGGATAACTATATACTAGGCACTAAAGGGATCTTTCTGGAACTACACTACAATGTTCCAGAGCTACACTGTTTGTGTGTGGTCATAACTTCACACACAGTGCATGTCCGTATCCAGCCCCTCCTTTGTCTCCTAACGGCACAAAAGTATGTTAAGGAAATAATCTAGAATAAGACAGAGGGGATAAATTACTGCCTAGTGAGAGGCACACAAGCCAGATCTGATCGCTGGTCTGTCCTCGCCCCCTGCTACTATCAGCGGGAGTTGAAACGGAGCGTCTCCTCATGAGACGTGTGGGCTTTCCTCCTCCCAAGCCCCCCCACTGGAGGGGTGCGGAGGTGATGCCGCTACCACACAAGCATTTCGGAGATCGAGCCTTTCCCCAGAAGCATCTCCTTTACCAAACTTGAGCCTCACCTCGTTTTTCTGTTTAAGGAGCATCTTCAAGATCTTCTCTGTGAAAAAGAACAGATAGAAGCCCCCAAACACCACGGCAGATTTAGAGACGTAATAATCCTCCAGAGGGTTGAAACCAAACGCCTGTGGACCCAGGGAAAAGAAAATGAGTTTAAGAAAATAAAAAAATCACCACTGGTCCCCTTCTTGTCTCTTAACCACTTCCTCGATCGTACGAAAGGAAAGAGGCGTGCCCCCTGGGATAACTGCCGTCCACCCCACTCCCTTTCTCGCGAAAGCTAACCCTTGATGTTTCCCAAATGTCCCATCATCAGGCCTGTTGGGTTCTCTCTAGCTTAGTTTCTGATGCAAACGACAGATCATCATTAGAAATGAACTGTCAGAAAGAACAGCCTGGACATGGTTTTCTACTTTTGACGAGGACTCTTTCCCCATTTCTTCCTGGTGCTGTGCTACAGGGCAGACTCTGCTGGCAAACCCCGTATTTAAAGAGAAGACACTGTGTTTATTTTCATCGTTACCTTGTGTCTCTGGCTGATCTGCCTATACATGCAAAGCCAGTGGTGTAATTATACTTTCAAAAATAGGAACTCCACTCCTCAGTTAAACACTAGGAATTGCGGCATCTTCCTGACCGCAGACCTCCCAGTGACCACAAAGCCAAGACGGCAGACTCGGTTACTGCAGCACGTGTCAATTCTAGGGGATTTGTTTTGAGTTCTTTTTGGAAACTCTTATTATGGGGGAGAAACAGAATCTCCTGGAAGTACACAGGAGTAGAAATCAGAATTCCATTCTCAGGGGCACTCCTGACTTGTGGTGGGGCCTTGGGAGCGTCCGGCGACCTGCCCCTCAGTTTTCTGATAGGAAACAGTCGTCTTGAAGAAACTCTGGCCTTCTCATGAGTAAGTCTAAGATAAGAGTGATCATAAGTACCAGGAACGCTGGGCTGCTTAAAAGGTAAGTGGTCTTTCTTTCTGGTTTTTAAAGGGACAAGATACAATCTCTACCGACTAGTGCAGTTTTTCTAAGAGACATACAAAGGTCAGCTTCTAGAGTAGAAACAACACATTCAGGTCAACTTTCCAGGACAGTCAAATCACTTTAGGGAAAAGTGGAGTGAAAATGGGCAACTAACAGTTCTCCACAAAAAGCCATGACGGATGGCAGAGGACAAGAGCATGGCTTCAGGAGTTATAAACCTGGCCTCTGGGATATGGGCTCTGGTGCAGGTCAGATTCCGCAAATGGATAAAACATGACTCTGATGTCACAGTGTTGAGCTGAGGATCAACTAAGAAAACACAGAACCACATCTTGGAAAACACAGTGCTATCGGAAGCACATGCCGTCATCTTTAGGCTTCAATGCAGGCTCTGTCCAGGCCTGTCAGACCACCTACAGTGAAATGCCTCACACTTACTATCATTAGAGGGTCTACTGTAGAGATTACATCAAATCAGATAAAACTTCCCCAGGGCCGCCTGCCAAACTTCACAAAGACTGAGCACCCTCCTCTTTTGTGGGTGCGTTTCTCCCTAACCTGGGTGAAGGGGCAAAGGTGCCTTCGATGCATGTGAATTTTATTTGCATTTCATTTGGATCACTTTTGCCCCAAAACGCCCTACTGAGGAGAATTATCTTTTTTTTTGAGAACTATGGATCCTGCTGACACGTTTGTAGGCGTGAGAGTGTGTGCCAAAAGCCCCAAAGTAATCTAACTTTAGTCCATCTTTCCACCAACAGTTAGAGAGTACTCCCTAGGCACCAGGCATTTTACAAATGTTAATTCGTGTAACTCTCGCGACATCGTCACGAGGTCAGGCCCGTTATTTTCCCCATTTTATATGATAAGGAAACAGAAGCACAAAGAGGTTACGTGACTTGCCCAAGGTCACACAACCTGCCGATGGTGGAGCTGGGACCTGAACCCAGCTCACACGCCTGTGCCATGCGGCCTCTCCTAGCTCTGCCGAAGTCTTAGCTAAAGGAAAGGACCGCCTTTCTCTGCCTTCCATGGGAGTGCAGGGTCCTCCCACTGAGCCCGCTGTCCCCAGGAGACGGTGTGCTCCTGGGCGAGGGGCCCTGGCTTGTCATACCTCGGGGATGAGCTGGAAGAGGGCGTTGGAGTAGAGAGTGCCAATCGCCAGAGCTATGAAGTAGAGCAGCAGCCTCTTGTAAAAGGTCTTCTTCATGAAGGGCACCACGCTGGCCCCCATGAGGGAGCAGAGGGAGATGACGGTCACGCAGAGGAGACCATATCCCCACACTGCGGTTGGGGGAGAGGCAGCCCCACCCAGGACAGGGAGCAGGGCAAGCGCCCCATGGCACGGCAGCCACCATTTAGGGGAAAGGAGGTAGAGGGGCCAGGGAGGCAACAAGGAAGGTTTTGGGAGATATTAACAAAGGCAACAAAAAGGAAAAATCAGAGAGACAAGTAGGGAGGGAGAGAGAAATAGAAAATTTGTTAGTGATTCAAGTCTGATGCAATTTCCTTCAATCAGTTCAGAAAAAATGAAGAGGAATTCAAGGTGGCCTTGGAACTCTATGGCTCCTCTCCCTGCTGCCTTGGGTGGCCCGAGTCACACCTGCCAGCTGGTGTGACTGGCAGGGTGGGTACTGCCTTATCGCTCAGCCGAGGTGTGTGCAGGTCAATCCAGAGGCTGGCAAGGCAGACTTTGGACCCGAGAAAATAAGAGCAGCTGGGAAGAGAATGATTACTGTGCTGCCGTGTTTGCTCTGAGTATCCGGCCCATACCGCACAGGCACATGCGACGCTGCCTGGACTTGGTCTGGTTTGTGCAAGATACGACAAAGTCAGGTGTGCAGGGCAGAGGGATGGACAACAAGGAAGGCCCCGTGCCCATGAAATCCAGATTCCTAGCTTCTCAGAGCTGGTTGGTTTCCATTTGCTTTGAGAGGGCTCCAGTATACAGCACAGAGTTCCAAGATCACCCTGCGACAGAAGCATTTCCTCTACCATTTTCCAGTGTGGCCCACGCTGGTCAGAACAAAACTGAGCCAGGGTGGGGCACTCCCCTGTGAGACACAGGGCTGGAGCATGTGCAATTATTGTTATTTCCATTCAACAGGCGATAAGGCATTTTTTCATTTAACTTCATGATTTAAGAAATTAATAAATTCAACTTCTGGAGCTAAAAAAAATGTAGCCCAAGATGAGGCCTCCCCTGAGAAGTGCTTGCTAAACCCATGTAGAATTCTAAGACAATATCAAGATAGTTGATCTTAAACCAGATTTCTTCCCTCCTTGTTGAGAAAGAACAGGCACGGCCTGGGCACCACACCTGCTATCTCCTTGGGGTGAGTCTTCTGACTGGGAAAGGCCAGGCAGCAGCTGAAAGGGCTCTTTACGAAAGGCGGCTGCCACCAGTCCCAAAGGAGGTCCACCTGTAATCACCCCAAGCACGTCCCTGCCAGGGCTGACAAGGGGGCAGGCTGTCAACTTGGGTCTTATGTTTTTTAGCTCCTCGGTGGTCACAATTAAAAAACAAAATCAACAAATACTTCCAAACAGTCAAATAAAAGCACCAGGAAGTCAGTCCTATCAGGAAAAAGTCAAGATGCAAGGCATGAAGGGTGGAGTGCCCCGTCCCCTATCTTGTCATTTTAATTTCGTCTGTTTTTGTTAAAAGTCTTTGTTCTGTGTTTGGCTCTCTCTGCTACGAATTACGGCCTGCTTTAAAAAAAAAAAAAAAAGGACAGCTCATCTTTTTAGACCAATTCTATTTGTTAGCTGGTAGCCTCTTTTCCTTCCTCCTCATTCTAGATGGATACTCTCTTGGTGGCCACCCCTGAGCACTGCGAGGGCTTCTACTTAGAACAGAGGGGTACTAAGTCCCAAGGGCAGGCAGAGACCACCGGCAGCAGCTTTCCTTCTGAGCCCTGCAAACGGGGCTTATGAGAGGGGCTGAGGCTGAGAGACCCCCGACAGGAGGGCAAAATGCTAAAAGCCTTGCACCTGACATCCCCTGAGGAGGCCAGAGGCAAACCTGGGTGCCCCAGGAATGAGAGAAGGCCCTTGAGATCCAGAGTCAGAAGTCATTTGTGTCCCTTGATATGAGGGAGAAGTGAATTTGTCAGGTGGCAGCTGTCGGGTGCCTTGGAGCACAGGGTGGGAGCGGGGGCAGGGACGTCAGCTGGGGGAAGGCTCGGCGGTGGGCGCCCCAGGGGAAAGAGACGCGCGTGTCTGTGGTACTGCACCTCTGGGATGAGCTGGAACAGCGCGTTAGAGAGCAGCGTTCCAATGGACAGGGCGATGAAGTAAGTGAGCACACGGCTGAAAAACGCTTTCTCCGTGCACGGCAGGACGAGGGCTCCCAGGAGAGAGGCCAGGTTAATCACTGACACACTGAGGAAACCAAAGCCCCACACTGTGGAGGAACAAGAACAGACGGGGGCCTCCATTACTGAGGGTGGGGTGCGCCCGCTGCCTGGGCAGCCCATTCTGACTTCGGCTGTGGTCAGGACACACAGACATCCACCAACCCATCAGTAAGTATTTGTTGAGTCCGCTTCTTCCTAGGTGCTGTGGAGAAGCCTAAAAAAAATACAGTGAAATTGCTATCCAGAAGGCACTTACCTTGTAGATGGAGGCAGGGAAAAACACCATGAAAGGTTAAGAGTTACAGAATGACAGCAGGACACAATAAGGCATGACCCAGGCAGCACGCGCTAGGTACCAAGTGTTGGGTGGCACACACCAGGGCGGCAGCGTTTCAGAAGGGCAATCCAGGCCCAAGGGATTCGTGGACACTCACAGACCATGGTGAGTCCGCTGAGGCTGGAGCAGAGGCACCGGGCAGGGGAGGGGAAGGGACGAAGCGGGCTGAGGGCAGATCCTATAAGGTCTGAAGTGCTAAACTGAAAAACCAAGGCGTTGTCGGCCCCCTTGTAGTTCAGTGAAAACTAAAATGGAAAAGTGGCCATAAAAAGCAGTCCACAGCTGGGCTGGTCTAAGAGCCCAACACTGCGTATTCACCAGCCACACCGGCCTGTCTGACAACATGCTGGACCAGGCTTGGAAGCGCCAAGATACCAGCACGACTATTGCTCTAACCTGCGCCTCCCGATGTTGGTAACACAGTCACCAATTAGAACCTGAGTGAGTAGCACGATCCGTCAGCCCCGAGGTCCACGGGAAGACGAGCAAGGGGACCAGGCCTTCCCGTCCCGGCTCACCTTCCATTGAACTCGGCCTCCCCTCTTCGGTCTGCTCATTCTCCTCGTTCTCCTGGTTCTCGGAGGAGCAGGCCCGGGAATCCAGCTGCTGGAGGATGGTGGGGCAGAACTCCTTGAAGTCACTCTTCTCTATCCGTGACTGGTTAGTGAAGTTGTGAACAGCAAAGAGGGCTCCGGAGCTGAAGCACTGAAACAAAGGCCAGGGCCAGAAAGCCTCTTTGAACCCAAAGTCACACCTTGCCCTAGACAGCGGCCCACTCAGCCTCCCAGGAGGGGAAAAAAAAAGAAGATAGAATTGTCCAGATACCGGCAAATCTGTAAGACTAATCTCTGGGGGTGAGAGCAAGGCAGTCCTTCAACTTGAAAAACTGATAAGTAATCTTAGCGATCAGTCACTGGGCTAAAACATACCTGACGCACAACATCTGTCAATGGCTACCCAGAGGTTCTGGGAGCAACTGAATTCCAGTCATTGTGACCAGAGTGTGGTTTCTAGAAAACATAATGCTATTTGGATACCCGAAGATACAGCTTCAACCAGATAGCAAATCTGGCTGCACATCACAATAGCCCAGGGAGCTATCACATTAAAATGCAGATTCTAGATACTTCCCCAGAGCTACTGGCATCTATGGAGCATGTGCAGGGCCGTTCAGCGGACACAAACTCTCAGTCCCCTGGCGAGGTGGCAGGGCAGAGGTTCTCACACACCGTCCCTGTGAAACATGGCAGTTTTCCCTCTAATTATATTTCATACATCTCAGTCTTTATCTGAGTTTGGTTGAACGTGGGTTTGTCTCTAGACAGCCCTCTGGGTGTGCTGACAAAGGAGAGTTTTAGGGTCTACAGAGCTGAGGGCTAGATTCTGCTGACCCCAGCACACCACAGTTGTGCCAGGAAGCCTCTGGGTCAGGGTGCATCAGCCCTCAGCACAGCCTCCTCACAGACTTAGACACTCACCATGCTCCTGGGGTTCTGCGTCTAGGACACGGGGGCCCCCTTGATCTCTCCAAACTCTACTCTCCTTCAGGTTGAAGCTCCAGGACATCTCAACCACAACCTTGATAGCCCTAGCACACGCTCACCGCCGTTCTCATTTCTGAATCCTGCAATGACTGTCCAACCCACAGCATTTAACCCTTCAGCTTAGTATTGGCTAACTTTGTTCTCAGTTGGCTGAGCTCCCCATTTTGACGGTAAGCCCCAAACATGACTCACTTTTCTCTGCTTCTCCCAACACTCAGCACAGGGAACAAAGTAGAGACAGAAAGCAGTTGCTGGCTGACTGATATCTGGCTGCCTCAAATAGCCTCAGATTCAGATTAGCCGAGATGACATGGAAGAAAGGGCAGAGAGCCAGGAGCCAAAAGACCTGGGCCTGCGTCCTGGTCCCTCCAGGAACTCACTGCGAGACCTTCAGGATTCTCTCCTACAAAATGAAGATTTTCCACCTGCACCTAGCGGTGCTGCAAGGCTCACCTGGGCGGGCGGGCAAAGGGCTTTGTACACTATAAAATCCATTAGAAATGCTAGCAGTCCAGGGAGCTCCACCTTACCAGCGTAGCTGCGAGAAGGAGTCCACAGGGCTGAGAACCCTCACTTCACAGCTGCCCTTTGGTTAGGGCTTCAAAACCCCCATGCAGGAGGGCAGGAGGCGCGGCTGGAGATTCAGATTTGCTGATCCAGATAACAGGGGAAGAAGAATTGGCCTCTCTGCTCTGTCATCAAATTTGCCTGCCCCAGCCCTGCCTGCCTGGAGCAGCTCAGCTCCTATGCCCGACTGGGCTGTGGGCCAAGAGGATAGAGACAGTACTGAGTGGAGCTGGGAGCCTTACCGTCGAGAGGTTCCTCTGTCCCTGCAGGGGCTGGGTGACATTGTTCCGGCCTACTCCCACGTCCAGGTGGTTGAGCAGGGCCTTTAGCTGCTGCAGGGTGAGGCTGTCACCCTCCCCATAGCGATCCATAAGGTCCTGCAGGAAAGACGCTGCGCTGATGGCTGGCATCCCCGCAGACACAGCGTGAGCCTCTGGAGCAGCTGTCCAGACGCTGAGCAGGGTCAGCAGTAAGCAGCGAGAGAAGGCTGGGTGCAGCAGCTTCATGGTGACAAAGAGCCTGCAAGAGCAAAAAGCCAGGTGAGGGTGGGGCTTAAGAAACCCACCTTTCCTCCCACTCTCCCGTCTCCCGGCACCGGACCCATCAGCCACACTCTACAGGGCAGGTCTCTCCTCAGACTCAGAATCCAGTCAGTGTCAAAGCTGACTCCTCACCCCTTCTCCAATGCCTCTGCCTAGCTTTTGAGAAACATCCTTCTTTTGCAAGTACAGAGTAAAAAATAAATAAATAAAAGGGCAAATTCACCAGGTCCGGCTAAACTTTTAAAAAGTAAAAAACTGGGAGGTCGGATGGCTCAGTTGGTTAGAGTGCGTGCTCTTAACAACAAGGTTGACTCTGCATGGGATGGTGGGTTATGTGCTGCCGCCGCCCCCCACCCCCACCCC